AGCAGTAAAAAATGGTATTCCCATATCACCTGCAAACGAGAGTGAAATTCAACGCTATAATGCATGTCGATTCGACTTTTCTGGAGATGTTTTTTCTGTAAAATTCAACTGTTCGAAGGAGCAAATATTACCTAGAATTTTCTAAATCACTCCAGAAAGCTAGGCTTAAAATTGTGCATACAGTGGGAATTTGCACACAAAGATACGGCAATCTTGCCACTACTCTGAGCACGCAGAGCTTTCCTCGCAGTTCAAATTGATTCCATTTAATTTGATCGAAAGGTTCGTAGCTTCAGACATGTTCTAAAGTAACAATGGTCCCTCGTCCGTCACGGGTGCTCAATTTTTCGTTTTTTCTTAGAAACTCCGGAAATAACCTTTCCAAAAAGTACTAAAGCCACGCTCGTAAAGAGTAGAAATGGGTAAATAAAAAAGAAAGAATAAAAGGAAAAGAAAAGCAACAATAAAATGTTTAGCATTTAACTTTTTTTAAAACAAGTATCCAAGTAGGGTCAACATTTCGTCCCAACGCTAATCCAATACAGTCTTTTTATAATAGTTTGGATTCTGGATTCCGCGTTGTGCCTCTGGATTCTGGTGGAACCTGGATTCCATTTCCAATCGTTTGTGTGATTCCCGACCGATTACTTGAACAGAATTCTGGATTCCAAATCCCAGCATTCCGGATTACACAAGCGACAATTTCTCAAATTACCTTACATGGGACGCAACACCGGCTGGATAATAGCAAATTTTATCTCGTCCGTCAGCAATCCTTCGCTTCTTTGTTTACTAATTTACTTGATTATTGTTGTTTTTGGAGATCATGTGTACTTGTTCTAAAGTCCAGATAGTCCATCATGTGACATTAACAGTAAGGCTCTCCTTGTTTTCATTCTGGAGTGAGGGAGGTGTGACTGGAGGAAATTTGTCAATATCGCCAGTAGGCCGAATTAGAGATATGCTCTTTTAAGGACTCATCTCTTACTTAAAATTCTTATTTCAACGAGACAAAACAGCCCTAAAATCACGTTGTTTTCTTTTTTCTTTTCTTTTTTGCTCGTATACTTAACACCCATTCAAGAAAGTACCCTTCTCCCCTAGCCTCAGTCAAAGCCGGGAAGTCAGGTCAGGTCATTCACTCGATAGCATATTTAATTTCACTTTCAGTTTCCCCGAAAGTTGCTTGATAGTCAACGCCATAGCAGTACAGCTTCAGAGATTTGATTGCATCGCAATTTACTTTCGGCACTTCTCTACTATCTGACAACGCCTCGATTACAGACTGCAGGACAGCCAACGGAAAGGTGTTTTAAAAACGCAAGTACGACAATTTTAAGCGAAAATTTACTCTGAATTTTATTTCTAATCTAGTGTTTAGATCATGTTAGATGTGCATGGAGATCAAGCGGTATTATGAATTTAGTATAGTTTAGTGTGCACAGTCTGGTTGAGATTACCTTAGGGTGTGTTTCAGTGATTGACCGTTTTGAGTTAGTACTCCGTTTCTTTTGAACTGAGTGTGCGAACAAGTAAAAAACTTCATTCAAGAAAGCACCCTCTATTCCCCAGACTCGGAGGAAGTCACTTCCAGTTTCTTCCAAGTCGCCCGAAACAAGGTCATATTTATTTCATTTTCGGTTTCGCTGAAAATCCCCTGATAAGTGAACGCTCTGTGGCAAGCTTTATATATTTGATCGCATTTTTAGTCCGTTTACTTTGGGCACCCTTCGAACGCCTCCAACTGACAACAGGACCGAAAAGTTTTGTAAAATCGCAAGTGCGCCTTTTTGAAGCAAAAATTTACACTGAACTGATCAAATGTTTACGTGCGATGCTTACATCGCAGTCAAGACTTTCCAACCATCCCGATCACGTCGGGATTCTCCCCGTTTGCTTGAAAATTCCGAATCCCGACCAATATGTGATCAGGATAGCAGAAAAACCCCGATTTTGACATCTGTTCTGACGTTTTCAAATCAATTCTTATGATATTTGTACAAGAACACCTAATAGAGGATATAATTAACTGAAATTGATATCCAGAAAACATTAAAAACCGCAAGAAATATAATATAAAATCGACGAGTACTTGCACGAGAAGCCACAAATCAGAATAGACATAAAGATGACTTTCGATTCAGCGAACATTTTATACAGAAATTGTCCTCTCAGAAAAATTAGGCGACTCGCTCACGTCATTCATCGATGATGTTCCGATTTTACACACTCAAAAGGTTGGACAGCTAGTCTGAGTTTACTTTCGTCTCTTCAGTGTCTAATATCGATAAGAATGCAATGCAGGACAAAAAAGATGCTGGAAAAACGTAAATAGGAACGATTTACTATGAAATTTCTCTGACCAATTCAGATGCCCTCGACGAACAGATGATGCCATAAATTAAGCAATTTCGGTGCCGGTTTGATTGAGAAAACCTTGGAACATGTTTCAATCTGTCCTCTCGAAGGGACTGTTTACATTTAGAGAAGAATATCCAAGCACCAGGAAAATCCGAGAAGGGATCATGTAGCGCCATATGTTTTTTGTACATTTTCAGTTTTAAAACGTCGTGCCTGACCCCCATGCTAGGATCTTGCTAGCTGAGAGCTAGGAAGATCCTAGCACCATGTTAACTGCTTTCGCTATAAGATCCTAGTACAAGGGACAAACCACACAAAACTGGTGGTGGGTCCAGGGGCGTAGCCAGCTTTTCGACTAGTTGTAGACCTGGCTGGCTTTCATTTCCACATTCGCCTCTTGCACATCTCCCATAATGCACCTTATTTGCCCCCCAAAATTTTGCATAACCTTTGTTTTTCGTTTCTCCTGGGTCAGATTACAGCCGTCACAAGAGAAATTGAAAGAAATGCTTATGCAAAATTTTGGAGGGTAAATGAGGTGTATTATGGGAGATGTGCAAGTGGCGAATATCCTGAAAATTGCACGCATGGCTACTACGCACTGACCTCACCAACACTTTGAGCTCTTAAGCTTTTTAGCTCACACTCAGAAAAAGAAACAGTGAAGAGTAAACGGCAGCCGCAGAAGATATCAAATGGATCTTCAGAATTTGATGTACAGTCTATAAACATGTACAACGCTGGTGATTTACTAAAAAGAAGAAAAATAAAACGTTATTCAAAAACCCAATATTGTAATTGTTAACAGGCGTCCTGTTTCTTAACTGAGTACCGTATCCGTCGCCTACTGTACTTGGCATAAGATTTCGCTTTCCAATGCTACAGCTCGCGCAAGGTGAACGCACGAAAACGCCTGCTACGCAGATAAATACCCAAGAAAACAATTCATATACCCGATGTCGTAATCGTAGCACCTTAAGGTGTTTCGATACACTTTTTCAGAGGCCATACCGATATTTTTCAATCGTTTTAAAAGTGATTTTATCCTTGTCTGATCGCTATAAAATTTCCACCAGTCATTGACTATATATTGAAGTTTGTCAAAATGTACTAAGGTTTTAGCAAAATCGATATTACTATGACAACAATAAACAAAAAACTTTGAAATTGATAAAAGCCCGCCGAATTTTGCGCTTTCTAGACCAGCTAGTGAACATCCAACACCGCTGGAACTTAAAGTTTGGTCTTTAGCAAATAACCTTCGTAAGAAGTAAAAAATTCTGTAGGTTTGAATTCGAGTAAAACGAAAATATATTTCAAACCTTAAATTTTCAGTAGCCGTGATAGATTATTTAATAAAAACGTTTTAAATCACTGAAATTATTCTTAAGTATCGTCAGAATGCTGCTTAATATCAAATTTCAATCATAGTGCCAGGAAATTTTGGTGTATTTTCGTTCTTGCGATCTTTAAAACTAACCCGTTTTCTCACCACCCGTCCAAGTGCAACTTCCTTCAAAATTTAAACTTTTAGCATTTTTTGCATATCTCTGAAACAACTCAAACGACTGATTTTTTTCAGACCTCTTCACATAACCTTCATAATGTATATAATAATGTCTGAAACTTTCATTCACTCCAACACCTTGAAATTTCAAGACAAACTTATCCTACGAACCTGTCAAAAATCCGCGCTACAACATTCACTGTTTTGACGTTAGGCAAATGTTTGCAAATTAATGCGGACCATACATATCTCCATGACTAGAGCATTTCAGTGTGAGTATAGTCAATGTTTTACATTCAAAAGATATGATAAATTCAAACTAAAATGTACTAGTCTTGGAGGTATGTATAGTGCGCATTATTTTGGAAAAATTAGCATAACGTTAAAACAGTGAATGTTGTAACTGTCAAGTTTTTCTTGGCCTTTATTCAGGGGCACCCAACGAGAACACAGATCAAAACCACTTAAACATGGCATTGTTAAACGCATTTTGGTATTTAAACGGTAGATATAGGCATATTTTTATTTTATTTTTCATCTGTTCGGATTTCCTAGCTGAAAGTCTAGTGATCCGAAAATTATAGGGATCAAAACTTACATTTTCATAAACTTCAGCCAGGAAAAAGGCTCTCGAAAATTCTAGGTGACCTTTTTAGGGTAAAATCCGTTAAAAGTGAGCAATTATAACATTTTTTTAGATGTTCGAAAATCCTAGGAGAGAGAGGCAGGCAAGACATTTTACAACAAATGTTCCGAAAATTCTAGATCTCAAATCGTCTTCTGAAAATTGACGTTCGGTGGCCCTGTTTATTACTGCGTTACATGCTACATATGGAGTGCCTTCTAATTCTGCGAGGAAACGCGACGAGCTGGAAAGAAAGCGTTGGAAATGGGAAATGTGCTCGCTCGTGTGAGCTTCGATTTCTTTCATACAAAATATAACTGCATACTTTAGTCTTAATAATGACGACGTATAAAAAAGAGAAAAGCTATTCCTCGATTAGTTTATGCTGTTTTTTCTATATTGCTGTGCTTTAACATATCAACGATCTCTGACTTAAAATACTTCCTGAAATAATCTAACTACCTGATTTTTCTTCTTTCGCACATTTTTACTAGATCCCAATCAAACATGGAGTACACTTTGGAACAATTAAACTATTTTAGAGCATGTTACATCGCCTTTAACTTAGTTCCCCAAGGGCTTCGAAAAGTCTTTAAACAAGAGTGGGATTTCCTTTACAAGACAACTGCATTGGGGGAATGGAAAGATATTTCACGAAATGGCCGTGATTTCTACAGCAAAGAATCACGAAGGAGTCGCACCAAGAATGCGCGACTTTTAGCGACAATACAAAGGGGAAACACGGTGGAGTGGGATTGCAGTTGCCTGTTTTTTGCTATTTTGTACTCGGATTGCATTGGCAGTACTCTTAGTCCAGCAGTCAGAAAAGAAGTTGACGATCTCAGACAAGTTCGAAATGATATCGCTCACTTGAACGAGGTTGAACTTACTGATGCTGAATTCCATAATTATGTAGCGAGAGTGTTAGCCGCTTTTAATTCACTGAAGCTTCCAATTAATGAAGTTGATGATATCAAAAACCAGACAGACTTTCCAACCGCTGAAGTAAATAACCTTAAAATGCAGGCTGACAAACTTAAAGCTGACTTGAAAACCAAAGGAGAAGAAAACAAAAATCTAACATCTGAATTACAATTGACTCAAGCCACATTACAGACAAAGCAGAACGAAGTGAAAACACTCGGCGAGGGTTTAAAAACCGTAGAAGAAGCAAACAGAAATCTAACCTCGGAATTACAGTCGACCCAAGCCACATTACAGACAAAACAGGAAGAAGTAGAAACACTTACTCAGGAAATCAATTCTAAAGTCGAGTCTTTCTGTACTCTGACATCCAAGCCATCACATAAAATCATCAAACGATCAAGTGATGTCACAAGAATCATGAAGAAACTGGACGAGCTTTACAATGAAAGTAATGGGGCTATCAGCACCATTTATCTATCAGGAATTCCAGGCTGCGGAAAAAGCCAATTAGCTCGACAACTGGGACAAGACATTTTCGATAGGAGGTTGCAAGAAAACGACCGTCTTACGTTTGTTGCAACCCTAAATGCAGAAACGCTAGATTCACTTGCAGACTCCTATTCTAGTCTGGCAAGACATTTGGGAATAACAGAATACACTCTCACCAACCTCGAGACTTCTACAAAGGAGAACCCAAGAGAAAAAATCCTGTATCTAAAGCGAGTCATTTATCCAAAGACAAAGCATTTCTCCAACTGGCTGATAATTGCAGATAATGTTGTTGACCTATCATTGGTTTGTAGGGATTTGCCTCCGACCGGTAGTGAAGAATGGGGCCATGGTCAGGTGCTAATAACTACTCAAGATAGCAGCCCAATACCCTCCAATGCTCCACTTACTTACCATGAGTCTCTTAGCAATGGAATGAATCCCGATGACGCAGTGAACCTATTACGACAAGTATCTCAGATTCAGGATCAGAACCAAGATGAAAAGGTCGCTGAAGTTCTTGAGTATCAGCCACTTGCTTTAGCAGCCGCTGCCTTTTATGTACAAACCGTTCTGGTCAGTGGCTCTCCGAACTATAGTTGGAAAAACTACTTGGAGGCACTTTCCTACGGCGAACGTGAAGCGACAGAAAAACTTCTTGCAAACCAGAACAGGGCGTATTCCAAAACGACAACTACTGCCATTGAAATGGCTATTATGAGAGCTTTAGAAAGTGATGACGTTCTTCGAGAAGTATTGTATTTGTTTTCTCTTTGCGCACCTGAGTCTCTTCCAATGGAAGTTGCTGTTGACTTCGTTAAATTACGTATCACTGAGCAATCAGAAGAATTGATCAAAACTAAACTTTTCAAAGCCTCCTTATTGTCTTGTTCACAAGACAAAGACGGTTCATATACATTTATAAGGATGCACAACATCGTTCATAAGGTGCTCAAGTCAATTATAACATCTACAATTGACTCAACAGATAGAGTTCAGTGCATTTCTGATGTCATTGAGATCTTTCAGTCTATAATGGAAGAGAACAGAAATCTGTTACATTCAAGTAGGCATGTGTTTGCCAAGTTACGTGTAATTACGAGTCACTGCAAAGTATTACAGGTACTTGTTAACACCGATTTCACTAAATCAAACGTAATCCTAAATTCAATCAACCCTGGAAATTTAGTTTCGTGGCTTTCCTTAGCCGCTGATGTGTGCTGTAGCCTTAGTAACCCGTCAGATGCATATCTTTTTAGTACGTCAAGCTGTAATTTTATACATTTTCTTAACGATTTAAAAGAGGACAAATTGTTAAGAGCGGACACCTACAACATACAAGGAAAGGTTTACAGTGACCTTGGCAGGTACAGTGAAGCTAAAGAATACCACGAAAAGGCTCTCATCATTACCAAAGAGATTTACGGTGAAAAGCATGGTGATGTAGCAGCAAGTTACAACAACCTGGGAATTGTTTTCAGTGACCTTGGCCAGTACAATGAAGCTAAAGAATACTATGAGAAGGCTCTCATCATTACCAAAGAGATTTACGGAGAAAAGCATGGTGACGTAGCAGAAAGTTACGACAACCTGGGAGTTGTTTACAGAAAACTTGCCCAGTACAATGAAGCTAAAGAATACTATAAAAAGGCTCTCATCATCAGAAAAGAGATTTACGATGAAAACCATGGCGACGTAGCAGCAAGTTACAACAATCTGGGAATTGTTTTCACTGACCTTGGCCAACACAGTGAAGCTAAAGACTACTATGAGAAGGCTCTCATCATTAGAAAAGAGATTCACGGTGAAAAGCATGGTGACGTAGCAGCAAGTTACAACAATCTGGGAATTCTTTTCACTGACCTTGGCCAGTACAGTGAAGCTAAAGAATACTATGAGAAGGCTCTCATCATTAGTAAAGAGATTTACGGTGAAAAGCATGGTGACGTAGCAGGAAGTAACAACAATCTAGCAATTGTTTACAGAAAACTTGGCCAGTATAGTGAAGCTAAAGAATACTATGAGAAGGCTCTCATCATTAGAAAAGAGATTTATGGTGAAAAGCATGTTATCGTAGCAGCAAGTTACAACAACCTTGCAGCTGTTTTCAGTGACCTTGGCCAGTACAGTAAAGCTAAAGAATACTATGAGAAGGCTCTCATCATTAGAAAAGAGATTTACGGTGAAAAGCATGGTGACGTAGCAGCAATTTACAACAACGTTGGAGCTATTTTCAGTGACTTTGGCCAGTACAGTGAAGCTAAAGAATACTATGAGAAGGCTCTCATCATTACCAAAGAGATTTACGGTGAAAACCATGGTGACGTAGCAAAAAGTTACAACAATCTTGGAGCTGTTTTCACTGACCTTGGCCAGTACAGTGAAGCTGAAGAATACTATAAAAAGGCTCTCATCATTAGAAAAGAGCTTTATGGTGAAAAGCATGCTGACGTAGCAGCAAGTTACAACAACCTTGGAGCTGTTTTCAGTGACCTTGGCCAGTACAGTAAAGCTAAAGAATACTATGAGAAGGCTCTCATCATTAGAAAAGAGATTTATGGTGAAAAGCATGGCGACGTAGCAACAAGTTACATCATCCTTGGAGCTGTTTTCAGTGAACTTGGCCAGTACAGTAAAGCTGAAGAATACTATGAAAAGGCTCTCATCATTAGAAAAGAGATTTATGGTGAAAAGCATGGTGACATAGCAGCAAGTTACAACAACCTTGGGGCTGTTTTCAGTGCCCTTGGCCAGTACAGTGAAGCTAAAGAATACTATGAGAAGGCTCTCATCATTAGAAAAGAGATTTACGGTGAAAACCATGGTGAGGTGGCAACAAGTTACAACAACCTTGGAGCTGTTTTCACTGACCTTGGCCAGTACAGTGAAGCTGAAGAATACTATGAAAAGGCTCTCATCATTAGAAAAGAGCTTTATGGTGAACAGCATGGTGACGTAGCAGCAAGTTACAACAACCTTGGAGCTGTTTTAAGTGACGTTGGCCAGTACAGTGAAGCTAAAAAATACTATGAGAAGGCACTCATCATTAGAAAAGCCATTTATGGTGAAAAGCATGGGGACGTAGCAACAAGTTATATCATCCTTGGAGCTGTTTTCGGTGAACTTGGCCAGTACAGTGAAGCTAAAGAATACTATGAGAAGGCTCTCATCATTAGAAAAGAGATTTATGGTAAAAAGCATGGTGACGTAGCAGCAAGTTACAACAACCTTGGAGCTGTTTTCAGTGACCTTGGCCAGTACAGTGAAGCTAAAAAATACTATGAAAAGGCTCTCATCATTAGAAAAGAGATTTATGGTGAAAAGCATGGTGACGTAGCAGCAAGTTACAACAACCTTGGAGCTGTTTTCAGTGACCTTGGCCAGTACAGTGAAGCTGAAAAATACTATGAAAAGGCTGTCATCATTAGCAGAGAGATTTATGGTGAAAAGCATGGTGACGTAGCAGCAAGTTACAACAACCTTGGAGCTGTCTTCGGTGACCTTGGCCAGTACAGTGAAGCTAAACAATACTTTGAGAAGGCACTCATCATTAGAAAAGAGATTTATGGTGAAAAGCATGGCGACGTAGCAACAAGTTACAACATCCTTGGAGCTGTTTTCAGTGACCTTGGCCAGTACAGTGAAGCTAAAGAATACTATGAGAAGGCTCTCATCATTAGAAAAGAGATTTATGGTGAAAAGCATGGTGACGTAGCAGCAAGTTACAACAACCTTGGAGCTGTTTTCAGTGACCTTGGCCAGTACAGTGAAGCTAAAGAATACTATGAGAAGGCTCTCATCATTAGAAAAGAGATTTATGGTGAAAAGCATGGTGACGTAGCAGCAAGTTACAACAACCTTGGAGCTGTTTTCAGTGACCTTGGCCAGTACAGTGAAGCTAAAGAATACTATGAGAAGGCTCTCATCATTAGAAAAGAGATTTATGGTGAAAAGCATGGTGACGTAGCAGCAAGTTACAACAACCTTGGAGCTGTTTTCAGTGACCTTGGCCAGTACAGTGAAGCTAAAGAATACTATGAGAAGGCTCTCATCATTAGAAAAGAGATTTATGGTGAAAAGCATGGTGACGTAGCAGCAAGTTACAACAACCTTGGAGCTGTTTTCAGTGACCTTGGCCAGTACAGTGAAGCTAAAGAATACTATGAGAAGGCTCTCATCATTAGAAAAGAGATTTATGGTGAAAAGCATGGTGACGTAGCAGCAAGTTACAACAACCTTGGAGCTGTTTTCAGTGACCTTGGCCAGTACAGTGAAGCTAAAGAATACTATGAGAAGGCTCTCATCATTAGAAAAGAGATTTATGGTGAAAAGCATGGTGACGTAGCAGCAAGTTACAACAACCTTGGAGCTGTTTTCAGTGACCTTGGCCAGTACAGTGAAGCTGAAAAATACTATGAAAAGGCTGTCATCATTAGCAGAGAGATTTATGGTGAAAAGCATGGTGACGTAGCAGCAAGTTACAACAACCTTGGAGCTGTCTTCGGTGACCTTGGCCAGTACAGTGAAGCTAAACAATACTATGAGAAGGCACTCATCATTAGAAAAGAGATTTATGGTGAAAAGCATGGCGACGTAGCAACAAGTTACAACATCCTTGGAGCTGTTTTCAGTGAACTTGGCCAGTACAGTGAAGCTGAAGAATACTATGAGAAGGCTCTCATTATTAGAAAAGAGATTTATGGTGAAAAGCATGGTGACGTAGCAGCAAGTTACAACAACCTTGGAGCTGTTTTCGGTGCCCTTGGCCAGTACAGTGAAGCAAAAGAATACTATGAGAAGGCTCTCATCATTAGAAAAGAGATTTATGGTGAAAACCATGGTGACGTAGCAACAAGTTACAACAACCTTGGAGCTGTTTTCACTGACCTTGGCCAGTACAGTGAAGCTAAAGAATACTATGAGAAGGCTCTCATGATTAGAAAAGAGATTTATGGTGAAAAGCATGGCGACGTAGCAGCAAGTTACATCTTCCTTGGAGCTGTTAACAGTGAACTTGGCCAGTACAGTGAAGCTAAAGAATGTCATGAGAAGGCTCTCATCATTAGCAGAGAGATTTACGGTGAAAGGCATGGTGACGTAGCAGCAAGCTACAACAACCTAGGAGTTGTTTTCAGTGACCTTGGCCAGTACATTAAAGCTAAAGAATACTATGAGAAGGCTCTCATCATTAGAAATGAGATTTATGGTGAGAAGCATGGTGAGGTAGCAGCAAGTTACAACAACCTTGGAGCTGTATTCACTAACCTTGGCCAGTACAGTGAAGCTAAAGAATACTATGAGAAGGCTCTCATCATTACCAAAGAGATTTATGGTGAAAAGCATGGTGACGTAGCAGCAAGTTACAGCAACCTTGGAGCTGTGTTTAGTGACCTTGGCCAGTACAGTGAAGCTAAAGAATATCATGAGAAGGCTCTCATCATTAGCAGAGAGATTTATGGTGAAAAGCATCGTGACGTAGCAAAATGTTACAACAACCTTGGAGCTGTTTTCAGTGACCTTGGACAGTACAGTGAAGCTAAAGAATACTATGAGAAGGCTCTCATCATTAAAAAAGTGATTTGCGGTGAAAAGCATGGTGAGGTAGCAGCAAGTTACATCAACCTTGGAGCTGTTTTCAGTGACCTTGGCCAGTACAGTGAAGCTAAAGAATACTATGAGAAGGCTCTCATCATTACCAAAGAGATTTATGGTGAAAAGCATGGTGACGTAGCAGCAAGTTACAACAACCTTGGAGCTGTGTTTAGTGACCTTGGACAGTACAGTGAAGCTAAAGAATATTATGAGAAGGCTCTTATCATAACCAAAGAGATTTATGGTGAAAAACATGGTGACGTAGCAGCAAGTTACTTCAACGTAGGAGTTGTCTACAGAAACCTTGGCCAGTACAGTGAAGCTAAAGAATACTATGAGAAGGCTCTCATCATTACCAAAGAGATTTACGGTGAAAAGCATGGTGACGTAGCAGGAGGTTACATCAACCTTGGAGCTGTTTTCAGTGACATTGGCCAGTACAGTGAAGCTAAAGAATACTACGAGAAGGCTCTCATCATTAGAAAAGAGATTTATGGTGAAAAGCATGGTAACGTAGCAGAAAGTTACAACAACCTGGGAATAGTTTACAGAAAACTTGGCCAGTACAGTGAAGCTAAAGAATATTATGAGAAGTCTCTCATCACTACCAAAGAGATTTACGGAGAAAAGCATGTTGACGTAGCAGCAAGTTACAACAACCTGGGAGTTGTTTACAGAAACCTTGGCCAGTACAGTGAAGCCATAGAATACTGTGAGAAGGCTCTCATCATTAGAAAAGAGATTTACGATGAAAAGCATTGCGACGTAGCAGCAAGTTACAACAATCTGGGAATTGTTTTCATTGACCTTGGCCAGTACAGTGAAGCCAAAGAATACTATGAGAAGGCTCTCATCATTAGAAAAGAGATTTACGGTGAAAAGCATGGTGACGTAGCAGCAAGTAACAACAATCTGGGAATTGTTTACAGAAAACTTGGCCAGTACAGTAAAGCTAAAGAATACTATGAGAAGGCTCTCATCATTAGAAAAGAGATTTATGGTGAAAAGCATGGTGACGTAGCAGCAAGTAACAACAATCTGGGAATTGTTTACAGAAAACTTGGCCAGTACAGTGAAGCCAAAGAATACTATGAGAAGGCTCTCATCATTAGAAAAGAGATTTATGGTGAAAAGCATGGTGACGTAGCAGCAAGTTACAACAACGTTGGAGCTGTTTACAGTGACCTTGGCCAGTACAGTGAAGCTAAAGAATACTATGAAAAGGCTCTCATCATTAGAAAGGAAATTTACGGTGATCATCATGCTTTGACTGAGGAAACGTTCCGCACCTTAAAGATAGTTGATCGGGAAATAAAAGCTCGGACAGTTAATTGCATTATTATCTAAGAAAAACAGCCCATTAAGTAGAAAGTATATTTCCGTTATTATTTCAGTGATTTTTTTATTGGGAACTTGTTGGAGAATTTGAGGACCTTCGGTAAAATTTTGTTCTTTTAACACATTCCCATTGCGTATGGTCAATAATACATTTACATTGTACTGGTACAATTTATTATTGTGAAAACTAGAATTATTCTCTTTAGCGATGAACTGAATGCTAATTACGAGCCTCCTGTCATCAGATCTAATTAGAGGTTTAAAGTTATCAGATTTCTTACTGCAAATTTTCAAAATAGTGCGACTTTTTTAACTTTAACAAACATGTTTTATCTGTTACAATGTATTGTATACGTTACGTTGCTTTGCAAAACAATACGCTTCACAAATTTAAAGCTGATAAAATTTAAAATAGATGCGCGTGCACGCATCCATAGAGAAAGCGTCAGATTGATTTGTTTGACCTGTTGATTAAAGTCAGGCTTTTCCCACTTAATGTACATAGACTCCTTAAGCTTAACCTGATACCTTGTAGGGGCAGAGTCTAAGAAGTTAAAGCAGTCTAAGCTACAGGAGGTACGACAAGACTCTGAGAAGCCTGTAAGTGCTTATAAACGTGAGACGATCTTTCCTATGACACAGACATGTGCTCGTGCACGCGCGTGGAAAAGTGTCGGCTTGTTTCGCCAATGTAACAGGAAAATTTGTAGACGATGCGCGTACGAAACCTGTCAGGAAGAGGATCTTTCACGTTGAAAAAGTTCTTAATTTCAAAAGTAGAATTAACAAGCTTGATGAGTTTGCGCGCCCTCCGTTGTGCAACACCCGAAAAATACCCGATGTAGGGGATTTTAAAATAGTGTCTAGGTAACTCTGGCTGCTCCACACCTGTGGAAGGTCGAGTGTCGTTCCCTTCTACTGCTGTCGTGACGTAACGCTGGAGTAGCATGTCTAATACATGCTCGGGATAGAGATTCTTGCGCAAAATAGCGAACAAATTCTGAAGATCATTGTGAAAACCCAGCCACGTGTTATTGATCTTAAAGGTCCTGTCAATAAGGGTTTTAACCAGTCCTCTTTTGTAGCAAGGAGACGTAAAGCTTAAGAAATTAATAAGGACACCCGTGAAGGTCTTCTTGCGGTATACGGTGATGACAGGGAAGTGTGGGGATTTGTTATTCAACAGCACATCAAGAAAAGTTAATGTATGGTTACTCTCATCACGTTCTAATTAAGCCAAATGGGATATTCTAAAATAGCCAATTTCTTGTGAAAAATAGCCATTTTAGCAGTGTTTCTTTTTCACATTTGATATATACTTAAAAAGTGGTATTACGTAGAATGAAAATTCAAAATGTTACCATGCACAGGACTGGTTCGGTAATATATACCTTTTAAAATGCAGATCGTGCCGGTTTCCAGTCGTTTTATACAAAATGTTTTGCAAAGAGGTTTTGTGAGATTAGCAAAAATGAAGGTTTCAATTCCAAATACTTTAAATACTCACGTGACGACTGTAACTCAAAATGACGGTGGAAAATTCCACTGTCATTTTCAGACGATGGCTGAAAATGCGACGATGGAAATTTCTATCGTCCTTGGCTAATCATGCAAAAAGCAAGACCATTCAGTATGCGGCAATCTTTAAATGACGATGGAAAATTTTGCTGTCAGTGTTACACAAACGATGAAAACGTAAATAGACTCTCCAAAATCATTTCTCAAACATTCTGTAAATGACTACCATGATAAATAATTTTCAGCTGTAACAAGCCAGTTCAGAAATAAAACGTATTTTTTAATCATTATTTCATTGGTGACATACAGTTCGGTTATCGCCTATGTCGCGCGGATTTTAACAGGCCGTTTTCACGCCGTTTGCTTTAGAGTCTGGTCGCTTTTCCCTTTAGACTTGACGCATAAAATATTAAAATCTGACCAATAATGTGTTAAAATGGAAGAAATGTGCTGTTTCAAATATACTGATTCCGTGACTGTTAACTTATCACGACTTATCAACCTACAGATAAGAAATTATACCCTTCTATTCTCGGAACAAGCTTCCATTGTGTTTACATTGCTGTTCGTGTGAAAACGGTTGCAAAACAGGTAGAGAGAAAAAGCATCTCAAACAATAAAATATTCGCTAGAGTCAGTACTTATCAAATAATATGAAATTTTGATTGAAATCTCAAACTGTTATAAACAGTAGAAAAACGAAAACGAAACACGGAAAAGCTAGTAGGGCGGCAGACAGGTATTAAAAAACGGAACTTTAAGTCTCTACCTGAGAGACAATTTTCTGACAGCGGGTTTCTACTAGCTTCTACTATACCTCGCTTGTGATCGTTACGTCCAAAAACAGCCTTTGACCTAGCTGTGACAAAAAATTTTGATGAGAAACAGAAACTTCATGAAGTGGTTGTAAAAATCGTTGGCTGAGTATTCAAACATGTGAATTCACCAGCAAACCGATGTCCCTATGCATTTGCAACCTCTATCTAGAAAACGAAATAAGAACAAAAATCACACAGAGTCGCTGTTAAGACTTCAAAAAGTAAGCATTACCTCTCTTACGAACTTTAAGATTAACGGGTTGTTTGGGACTTCTAAAACCTCTTAAAGGTCGGACATTGCCTCAACATTCTTGAACAGTTCCTTGTTATTTTATGGGGATAATAGAGACAGCAAACTATACGCGAGGCATGGAGAATGCCCGTATATATTCCACCTGGGAGCTGAGGGAGATGACACTCTACTTCCACGTCATAACGGATTCCGCTTCTCAGTAGACTACAAGACAGTCCCATGTATGCTTTTAAGTCAACCAATGGTTCATTTCTGCCCTGTCGGCTTTTAGAATTGGCTTTTTTTCCCCATGACTTTTATCAAGTAACTTGAAGGTGCTAATAATTCATTTTCATATAAACTAATATAATTGAATTCCGGGATTCAGGATCATAGAGTTATAGGGGAGCGAGTAGCCTGGGAAAACAGCCGAAATTTGGCGACGCTACCACTGGTTTCCCCGCCAAATGCTGTCTGAGAAACAAGCGCAGAAATTCCATACTGATGACGCGATCTGGGTAGTGACGCGGCATCAGTATGGAATTTCTGCGCTCGTTTCTCAGACGTCATTTGACGGGGAAATCAGTGGTAGCGTCGCCAAATGTCGGCTTTTTTCTCAGGCTAGGGAGCGAGATCTCGGTACTTTATTCAGAACGGGATATCAGATTTCCCAATCTCACGATGCGATATTTGGGAAATGCCTTTTCAGAGAACCGATATTCTGTAGGAATAGTAAGCTGCATTTTCTTGAACCGAATTAAAAAAAAAAACTTTCATAACAAGTTGCACACATGACCCTGCTTTTGTCCCTATTAATAAACAATAGCATTCTCTTTTAATCCTCCAACTAGCTCTTGGAATGCAAGGCATTTTTTAAACTTATGCTGGATTACAGCTATCGGGACTACGGGATTTGGGAGTACTTTGGTCGGGATTACGGGATTTAGAAGTACTTTTGGTCGGGATTACGGGATTTAGAAGACCTTTTGGTCGGGATTCCGAGATTTAAGAACCCCAATGGCATTTTACAGAATAGTCCCTTCGGGAGGTGTACGTTTTTATGATTCTTTTAACTTGATAAATTAGCCAGTAAGATTAAATTGTAAAGAATGATTTTAGCTTAGTTTTAAATGATTATTATTCCCTTGTAAATTATCTTATAATAGCCCCCTTCGCAGAGGTAATAAAGTTATTGTATTGTATTGTATTGTATACCTATTTCGACCAAATAAGGTTGCTAGCACCAAGCCGCCGGGTTCTTGCTTTTCTTTTATTTATGCAAAAATCATCGGTATCATGGATCTGAATATGATTCTTGGAACCTCCTCACAAACCCCTCTCCTAACTAAGGAGTCTTTGGTTTGAAAGGGGTAGGTATGCAGTTTGTCAGAATCTTATATCATTCGCCACTTTAGAAAACGAGAAGGCAACTGGAGCCGAAATACGACTCGCAATCGTTTCTCGCATCGTCAGTCGTGACGCGCCTGTCAGCCATTGGCCAATTTTTTCCCTTGTCCCTAGTAACAATCCCAGAAGTCTTTACTCGATCCAGTTTTACTGTCATCTATAAAGTGACAAGTTACACAGGTCAGAATAGCGAGCCACTGACGTCCCGGACATGAATAGCAACAGGAAGTTCGACGCCTCGCTTGATGGAACGTCGCGAATCTGAATGCCTTTGTTTTCACTCCCGCTGCACGAATAGGCCACTTTCGATATATTAAAATTCAGCAAGACAACGAGTCTTACGGGATACAAACACAGGAAATGAATAAACATGTTTATTCATTTTCTTTTCAGTTTGTGTCCTCTAAGATTCGCTATGGTGCTGAATTTTAATTTATCGAAAGGTAATAGCGAGCCACTGACGTCCCGGGCATGAAGAGCAACCGGAAGCTCGATGTCTCCCTTGATGCAATGCTTCTCTCTCACACAACGAATCTGAATGCCTTTGTTTTAACTCCCGCTGTACGAATAGGCCACTTTCGATATATTAAAATTCAGCAAGACAACGAGTCTTAGAGGATACAAACAAAGAAAATGAAAAAACATGTTAATTCATTTTCTTTGTTTGTGTCCTCTAAGACTCGCTATCATGCTGAATTTTAATATATTAAAAGTAGCATATTTGTCAAGTCTGAGCACCGAAAGAGAGAAAATATTAACTTCCGGTTGCCCCTCATATGGACAGCGGAAAGACACAGGATTCGGCAGGATGGACTCCTGTGCGTCTAAGATTTACATGCCTTGGAGCTTCATCAGACTGGATAAAACAGACATCTCTTTATAGAAAGTTTGAATGATGGGAACTGATCCCTATTGAGTTGCGGAAGCTTCCAGTGGAGCAGGTTGGCTTTATTAAGGACTATATCATCTGGAAAGATTGTCGAAATTATTATCCATTTAAAAAGCCTAGACAATTGTATCACAGCCCAACTTAA